TAAAATTGTCCAAAATGTGTTGGTATACTGAAGGAGTAAGAACTAAGTAAGAACCATTCACTAGGACTAAGGGGCCAGGCCCAGCTCCTGAATTTCACCCCCCCACACCTTAATCCCCCCTGCATCTGACGCTTTGCATAGTGATGTAAGGCTTGGGCATAGAAACCCATTACATGAAGCTCTCTGCGCACTGTTCTTGAGCCAGTCTGAATTTTGGAGGTCTATAGCGATTGAGTCTGCAGAAAGTTTGCAACCTCCACACAGAGCCTTGTAGGTTTGGATTTTTTCCCCTAATTATAAACACCTAGAAACTGTAGTTTGTGTTTACTTGTGTTATCTTTGTCTAATATTAACATTTGTTTGATGATTTGAAACATTTAAACTCAAACGTAGGAAATCAGGACGGGGCCACATCTTTGTATGTCTGCTGTATTTTTTAATGCTAGTATTTTGTTGGGTGCTCTGGCCCCAGCTGTTTAATACATTGGTAATGTTATAAGGCACTTCTTATTAGAAGTCATGATAGATCTGTGAAGTTATTTTAACCAGGCCAACCTTCCGATTACAAGGCGAACTCCCAACTCTTGAGCCACGGTCGCTCCCAGGTATAACATTATGGCCACTGACAGGTGACGTGAACACTACTGATCATCTCCTCATCATAGTGAGTGTCAGTAAACATTTTTCCCTCAGAGTTACGTTAGAAACAGGAAAAATGGGCGAGCATAAGAATTTGAGCGGGTTTGACGATGGCCACATTGTAATGGTTAGATCTGTGTGACCTTTGAGCCTAGGTCATCAGCTACATGTCTGGGCTTCCAAACCTGCAGCTCTTGTGTTGCCAGCCAGTTGTCAGTATACTGACGTCAGATCTCAACGTTGATTCTATGACGTCGCCTGATACTGACTAAACATTGTTTCAATGTTTCCTTGCTTTCTCGGTAGCTTTTTAAAATGTGGCCCAAAAAAGGAACAGTGGTGGTGCAAAGCTTTTTTATGCATGTGAGGAGCAAAGGCTGGTGCAATTCAATCGATGAACTGCTCTGGCTGAAAATGCAGAAACGTTATGCTGGTTTTAATCAAAAGCTGTCAGGACACCGTGCACAGCAGTTTGTTGTGTATGGGGCTGCAGAGCCGCAGACCAGTCAGGGTGCCTGTGCCGCAATATCCACTGCAGAAAGTGGCAACAATGGGCACACGAGCATCAGGACTGGACCATGGTCCGAGCATTGAGGCCTGGGCTGATGAATCACACTTTCTTTTACTTCACATGGATGGCTAGGTGTGTGTGTGTGTCGCACACCTGGGGAACACCTGGCACTACGGGAAGAAGGCGAGCCGGCGGAGGCAGTGTGATTCTTCATGGCTTCGGCATCTTTCAGCAGGATAATGCATCTTGCTACGAAACAAAAAAGACTTAAGAATATTTCAAATTCAATCCAGTTAAGCAACTTTCGGATTTGCTGGATAAGGAAGTCCAACACATGGAGGCTCTACCCGGCAACTTAAAGGATCTGTTGCTAACGTCTTGGTGCCAGATACCACAGCATATCTTCAAGGGTCCGGTGGACTCCATGACTTGATGGGTCACAGCTGTTTTGGCAGTAAAACAGCCGTCTAGTCTGTTTTTGCTTTATAAAGCATTTATAAATGAAATTTATTGAAGTACAGTGAGACGC